CGAGGGAAGTATAAGATGAAACTATTGCTACGATTGCTTTTGACCATTCCGAAGGAAAAACACCTTTATCATACAGAGGATTGAACAATATGGAACAACAATATTATCTGAACATGGAACAAATTCACTAATTACATAATCTGTTCCAGCTGCTTTATTACATTTCAACTTACGAATATTCTCTTGTATTTCCTCACTGATAATAGGGGCATTACATATATCATCAGTGTCAGATTTAACCCAATTAGTACCAGTATATGCATCCGTTAGTACACTTTCAGTATTCACGGTGTGTGTATCTTCTTCATAAGAAGTAGATATATCTGGCTATGAAATACTGAACAGGTCTTTAAAATACTCGTAGCAAGTCTCTGGATGTATTATATTTTTATCCTTAGTAGTACCTGATAAAGCTTGTACCAAAATGTTTTGGAATCCTTCATGGTATGTATCAATTTAGATTGACGTTCAATCTCGAACGAACTTATAGCATTCCTACGAGGGGCGTTCAACAAGTTTTGCAACTTGAACATTTGTGTTCACACAAACAATGTCAACTTGTGACAGGTGTGACACTAGTCATAACACCAGGTTGACACGTGTCATAACAAACTCCAGACACAACAATAAGTTAGATGTCATCGCTTCATTCACCTGAGGGTGGTCACAATCATGGATTCTGTCAAGCATGAACAACGCGCTGTAATAAAGTTCCTTACCAAGGAGGGATCGAAGCAAAAGAAATCCATGATCGCATGTGTAAAGTGATGGGTAGGGATGCCCCTACTATTCCACAGTTTGTGGTTGGTCTCTACAGTTTAAAAGGGGTAGGGAGTCCACAGACGATGACCCGAGGTCAGGCAGCCTTCAGATGCCACCTAACCGGAAACCATTGCTGCTATAGAAAGAAGAATTTTGCCTGACCGACGAGTGACAGTATCTGGGGAATTCCAAATATCAGTCGGAACTGTTGGAACCATTATTCATGAGCATCTTGGTATGTTCAAGGTATATGCATGATGGGTACCTAGAAACCTCAGAGCTCAAGATCGCCACCAGAGAACTGAAAGTTGTCGATACTTCCTGGATCTTTATACTGCTGATAAAGCCGGATTTTTTTCTCGTCTAATGACAGGTGATGAAACATGGATTCACGACTGAGAACCATAACTAATTGGAATCCATGCAATGGAAGCACCCCAATTCTCTGCTTCTGATGAAGTTTCACACTCAACCATCGGCTGGCAAGGAAATCGCCACCATATCATTGGGATGCAATAGGCATATTACTGATTGATTACATGCCACCAAAAACTACATTCAATGGACAATATTATGCTAATGTAATGACAGAATTGCGAAAATCTATTCGCCAGAAACGCCGTGGAATGTTAACACGTAGTATTCTACATTTGCATGTCAACGCTCCGGTTCACAAGTCGAGAATTGCACAGGTCGCCATATGTGAATGTGGATTCGCACAGTTAAATCACCCACCCTACAGCCCAGACGTAGCTCCCAGTGACTATTTCTTTTCCGGCAAATGAAATCTGCCCTACGTGGAAGACGCTTCGAGGAAAACGAGGACATAAAGGCTGCCATAGAGGCGTAGTTAGAGGGCAAATCTGCGGACAAATGGAATAAGTGTATTGAGGTGACTGGAGATTATGTTGAAAAATAAAAGTGCAAAAGATATTCTGCGACTTTGTCTTATATTGAAGCTCCAAAACTTATTGAACGCCCCTTGAACATACAGCTTTATACTTATTTCTTGCAGCAAGAAAGTGCTGAAGAGACACTTTTTCTATATATTTACGAAATACATTTACATTAAGCGTCAAACCAATCTTTAAAACTGAAAATTGTCTTACACAATGCTTCATACAATCAGCTGATCGCAATAAGATATCTGGGAATAGTTCAATCCCGTAATCAAGGACATGGTCATGCCGGTTTCTTGGAGTTGAAGAATCTTAATTACACTGTAGGCTTGCTAATTCTTCAACACACTCGGGGACTTGTAGATATTCGGGTTGGGGTGACCTACGTTGGTATGCAGGCAGTGGTGCCACCCTTCTACATGGTGGATCGTTCTTGGGCCTGTGGTGTTGAAATGGTTGAAGGATGCATGGGGGAAAGGACCGTCCACCCAATGTTCAGTGACGTTGACGGCAAACTTGACAACTTGCTGGAGATGTTTTGGTCCACAATAGACAATATGTGAAATATTTACTATGATGAACCGACAACAATTCAAGATTTAACCTACCAACTTCAATATCAGTAGGCAATGTACAAGACATCTGAAGCATAGTTTTTGTATCAAGGTGGTACACAGTTTTTTCCTCAATTCTTTTTCCTATTTGAAACTGTTGAGAGATCAATTTAACCCTGTCCTTCAAGAGTTGTGCATATTGAAACAATTCTATGTGATTTTAGTTGTAATCTTCGTTGGTTGGTTGTTTTGCGTCGCACTCAGCAATATTCAAACTGTATGACGGCGGTCTGTAAATAATTGAGTCTGAACCAGACAGTCCAGTGATTTACATCATGAGCCTCGATCCATGCATTTGGGATACGGTGACATGCATCAACCAAGTCAACGAGCCTGAAAGCTCGATCCGGGTAGTCGCCTCTTACGACAAGCTAAGTCGCCTTTTTACGGCAAGCATGGGTCGCAGAAGACCTATTCTACCCCGGATCTTCACAGGTCGGAAACAAATAGAGCTAGTTCTTTATCGGGAATGATAACACTTGACAGCTTGCCTGTGCACAGGTGGTGTCCAAGGATACTGCATAGACAATGCAAACTTGTTTGACTGATTTGAGTCTTGGACTGACGAATAGTTAGTGATTTTCATCCAATGCTAATGCACATAGCCAATTCAAACATGCCGCCTCTTTAGAACTGTGGGGCCAAGTACTACGCGCATTCACACACGGAAGCGATAATCTTCACATCAATATAAACTTAACCGCAAAAGAAACGTCACCCCAAATAACATTGCATGAAAAGTTGTCGTGTAAATATCTGGGTAATATTTGTCAAAGTTTCTAAGATTTAGCATTACCTGATCCGGAAAAATGAAATTTGATGATAAAAAAACGAAGCAGATGACAATAAAACCGATCGCCTAAACGCATCACGGCAACGGCCATGGTAACACGATCCACGTGAGTTCCCTGCAAATTGAAATGCACATGCGTTCCCCCATTTCCTGGCCTATAAAAATCCACCCAGATCGGATAACATTTATTCGTTATTAAATTGATATCACGTGCCAACATTGACAAGAAATCAGCGACACCAAGCCCTTTGACGATTGCAAGCTGGACAAACCGCCCGGCAAGTAGCCAGTGAATTTCAAGTCCAGTAACGGTACCAGACCACCAACACTACAGATAACCGACCACGTAGTTGAAGACCAAGGGTCACCACCCGATGTCAGGATCGTCAGGATCGTCATCTTCAAGATCGCTTTGTTACTGCTGTGGAAACTGCTCGACAGACCATGGGGACACACCAGCGACACATTAGTGCGTACACCGTGCGTCGACGATTGATGAGCAGACACCTCCTCTTTCAAAGGCCACACCGTGGACCCATTCTGACACCACGTCATCGCCGGGACCGTCTTCAGTGGGCAACACAGCATCAGCATTGGCGCCACCAGCAGAGGAGAAGTGTCCTCTTCTGAGACGAGAGCCGTTACTAATTCTCAACAGCAAATGGCAGAGAGACGGAGAGAGTCTGGCGACGCCGTGGGGAACGTTATTCGGATGCTTGTGTTGTTGACAGAGACTCGTGGGGTGGTCCGAGCATCTTGGTGTGGGGTCGAATTGTCCTTGCACAGAGGGTCGGCCCGGTGGCCTTCCAGAACATCGGTCCAGGGAGAGGAAATGGTGTCACGGCAGCTCGGTACATTGATCAAGTCTTGAGACCACACGCCATACCTCATTCGGCACGAGTTTCAGCATGATAACGCCCGTGCCCACACTGCGAGAACAGCAAGAGACTTCCTACAGCAGAATGGCATCAGAACCATGCAGTGGCCTGCCCTCAGTCCCGATATAAATCCCATTGAGCACCTGTGGGACGAGATTCAAAGACGGCTGAATGACGTCCGACCAAGGCCGACAACTGCAGCTGAACTGCGTCAGTCGTTCCTCAGAGTGTGGGCTCAAGTGCCTATGACCTTCACCAACCGCCTCATCCATCGCATGTATCGACGCTCCACGGCAGTCATCAATGCGCATGACGGACACACGAGATACTGACTTGTGATGCCATTTTCTCAGAGACTAGTGTTGTGTTTCACTTTAAGAACATTTGACACATTAATTTTAACCTTGATGATCAGTTTTGCCAAGTTGCATCTTTTTCATATGTCTATAAAGTATGTTTACAGTGTTTTGACAAATAAGGTTTCTCATATAATTATCCATGGTGACGCTTCTTTTGCGGTTCAGTATATATTCTTTCCTCTGAAATACTACTTCAAATTGTAGTCGATATAGTGTTGAATAAAACTTTTAGCACATTTCTCTAACTATTTCTAATGTCTTGTTGTGGCATTGTTTCTCAAATCCTTTATATAAGGATTGGCTGAGACCCGTGAAGATCCGGTGAAGAATAGGTCTTCAGCAACCCATGCTTGCCGTAAAAGGCGACTATACTTGTCGCAAGAGGCGTGGTCAGGCTCGCTGACTTTGTTGATGCATGTCATTGATCTCAATTGCGTGGATCGATGCTCATGATATCAATCACTGGATTGTCTGGTCCAGACTCGATTATTTACAGACCGCCGCCATATAGCTGGAATATTGCTGGAGTCCGGCGTTAAAAACAAAGAATAAAACAAAAGTTGTGATGCCCACGGCTTCAACTCCCAGTCGCTAACTCATACTCTATTACCAAGGGTATTATATCTCCAATCTACGACAATACATATCTTGGAGAATGACTCACCAACGCTTTCTCTTTCCTTCCAGTCTGCTCGATAAAGTTCAACACACAAAGATACGCTGTCAACCCCATGAACTTCGGCTTTGATATTCGTGGCAAGGACTGGATCACGTACACTGTCATGGCGTGTAATGACTTCAACATCAAACTGTACTTCCGTGAACAAGTGATGTACAGGATGCTACTCGGGGGATGGTTCGACACTAAAAGCCGATTCTATGCATTTGGGGCAACTGTAGACGTCTTTGGGCCGGTCTTAAACTGCACTGGCTATCTTCAGTTTTGGACCTCTTGGGAAGATGGGCATTTCAAAATAGGTCGGGGCAAGGTGAAGGACGCAGACATTCTCTACGGTGATACTACTCACATTATTCCCGGTGTCGACAGTTTAACTGTGTGGGCCCCAAGCGCCAAATGGAGTTTTGGTAAGTTGAGCCACAACACCCAGCCGTTCACACCCTGCTAGTTGAAGGGGTGAGAGAGTTTCATATAACTGGAATATTGCTGAGTGCGGCGTTCAACAAAACAGAAATGTTTGTTTGTTTGTTTGTTTTAATGCCGCACTCTGCAATATTGCAGCTATATTACAGTGGTCTGTAAATAATCGAGTCATGACCAGACAATCCAGTGAATATCATTGACATATTTTTTGTTACACTATTTTTATAACACTAGACCTAGATCCACACTTTAAAAAAGATACAAATATGAAATTTTGGAGCTCGATAGTCGTATGTTATCGTTGTACAAAGGCGTTGAAAATATTCGTTGTCATGTAACATTAGGCCACAAGGTTGCACTGAACTCTCTATCTCATGTGACCACCCCGGGCAGCAATCACAACTCTGCATCTCCCCGCCACTGACTTGATAAGTGTACGAATTCTGTTCTGCGGAATTCTGTGCCATTCTGCTTGTAACGCGTTGGTCAGTTGTTGGAGTGTCTGCTGCTTGTTCTGACGTTGACGTACACGTCGATCGAGTTCATCCCAGAAGTGTTCGATTGGGTTGAGATATGGAGATCTAGACGTTCAGGGCAAGGCGTTGGCATTTTCAAGGTATTCTACCGTGACACGAGCTGTGTGCGGTGGAGCGTTGTCCTGTTGAAACAGCTCCCTCTGGCGGTCAATGACTGGCAGAAGGCGAGAGTAGTTGGGGGCAGGACTCTGATAAGGAAGTGGACTCTGCGCATGCGCGAAGAGGACATTGTGGGTTATACGTGCGCCTCCAAGATGGCGACACTTTCGGTTCGATGACGTCACTCAGAAGTGGGTTCTACGTCACGTCCGGTTCCGAGGGGGGGATGGGGATCTCCCCATCCAAGATGTAGGCACGGCGCATCCAAATGGCAGGAGGAGGGTGGAGGAGAAGGGAGAGGAGAAGGGGGAAAGCAGAGGAGGGAGGAGGAGAGGAAGGGAGTCGGGTTCTTTGTTTTGGTTGGTGGTGAAGAGGATAGTCAAAGCAAAGGATGAAAGCGGTCTTTCGGGAGAGATGGATGAAGGGTGACTTTTTCTCCTCCAGAGGAAGGGGGAGCCTGAGCGCTCTGACGAGCAGCCTTGGGGGTCCGTTTGCGCCGGGGAGTCTATTTTCCTCTTCCTATTTCGGGGGATGTAGCCGGTATCCGGACGTGACGTAGAACCCAATTTCTGAGTGACGTCATCGAACCGAAAGTGCCGCAATCTTGAAGGCACACACCCTCCCCGGAACCGGCGCCATCTTGGGGGCGACCGGAACCGGAAGTGCCGCCATCTTGGACGCGCACGCATTACACACAAAACCCTCTTCGCCCATGCGCAGAGTCCACTTCCGTCCCAGAGTCCTGCCCCCAACTACTGGCGAGGTTGAAGAATTTGAGTCACAGCGACTTGGTGTCAAATTTCCCTGAACCAAAACCAAGTCAGATCTAGTGATGTAGGATATGGCCCCTTCACACCATGACACTACCACCACCGAAACTGTCGAATTTCGCAAAACGCTCGGTGGAGAAGAAATCGTGATTCATCGCTAAGCCACACTCGTCATACTCTTTCTCAAATTCTAAGGCTGTAAGGTATTGGTGCAGTATGGCACCACCGTAAGCGTCGCTGTCGATGGATCTGTTGCAAAACAGGGACGATAACTTGTCTTCTGGGTCGGAATCCAGCTTCGCGAAGATGGTTCCTGACAATCTGGTCCGATATCCTCCTCAAACCAGGGATGCGTCATGCAGTCTCCGTAGCTGTGGCATTGCGATGACATAGGTGGAACAGTCGAATGTAGCCAACCTGTGCAGGGGTGGTAACTCTTGGTCGGCCGGTTCTCGAATGTTCTGCAGTGGAATTGAACTGTGTGTATCGGTCCCAAAGGCGGCAAATGGTGCTGTGGTGGACGTTGAAGTGGCGTGCAATAAAAGATTGCGATTGCTCTCTTTGGATACGTCCTATGGCGATGTTCCGATAGGCAGCGCTGAGTCTCGGCATTTTCGAACTTGAAAAATGTTGACAACTGAATGAAATATTTATTGGCTTATGCTTGCCTTTTTATAGCCACTACCACGGGCTACGAATGTCATAACTTGCCCTCCATGACATTTTTTAACAAGTGTGAAAATAATGCCGTTTAAGACATTGCAAATCGACAATGGCTGCGTTTTGACGCACCGTATGGCGAATATTAGGCCACCAAGATTTTCCAATAACATATACCCAATTTACATCAAGTACAAATGGCAGAAACGGAAGTTGTTAATGAACCTGTACGGGTACATGTTTTAGTCATCATTGATCAACTGGCTGATCATTAAAAAAAGATTAAATATGTGTCAAATAGACACTAAGGTGAATTCATAGATTGCTATAGACTGTCAGTCTAGACCCGGATCGAGTCGATACTGGTCTATGACAGTTTGGATGTGCATTTCTTCGTTTTGTTCACTGGGATTGGTCGTAGCGAGGATATTCGTAAACGATCATGCAGTCAAACTCTGACATTACTTAATGTATACTAAAACGCTGAGTTCAAGATTAAAGTGAGTGAGTGAGTGAGTGAGTTAATGCTTTACGTCACATCGGCAATATTTCAGCTATATCGTGACGAGAAGTTATACATGAAATATACATATATTTAAACTTTATAAAAATCTGTCATCGAAGGACAGTATGATAACTAGAATATCACAGATAAAATTTAAAACTATTTGCGGAACATTTATAAGCATTAAGTATAAAGGAACAACACAATATAAAAATGGGCTAGAGATCGGATTTATATCAACCCTTCAGTCACTGGCGATAGTTTACCAGTTAGGCCTTATACTAAAATGACAAAAATCCTACGTTTTAAAATTCTGGCATGCATATAAATACTTTGAATGATGTGGGACTTACATACCCTCTTAGGGGGACAATAATTGTAGTTCAACCCCCCTCGAGGGTATAGCCACTAACCATCTAAGTTATAAATTAGCACTACCAATATGTAAAATAATACATTAAACACATCACAATTTATGAACGAGTTCGATTTCTTTTAAAAAACATAATATTAAACGAGAATTAACATCATTAATAAGGTGCTTAATTGTTTTAACACTGAAATATTTATCCCTTGTAATGGAAAAATCAATGCAGTCAAGCAGGACATGGTTGACCGTGATTCTTTCACCACAAGGGACACAAAACGGAGAATCCTCACCTTTCAATAAGTATTCATTTGTATAACTGCTATGGCCAATACGACATCGTCTTATAATGACCTCTTCAAATCTGGACTGACAGCCCAAGTAGGTGTAACCGATATTTGGTTTAATTTCATGTAATTTATTGATACCTACTTGGGTGTCCCACTTCTTTTGCATCAGATCACGAATGTAAGATCTAATTGCAGGTTTATAATCAGTGTAGGGGAAGAGAAGTGGTGTCACAGATTTGGTGAGTGGTGCTTTAGCAGCAGCATCGGCCATTGTGTTACCAGTAATACGAACATGGCTTGGTAACCAACAAAAGGCGATGTCATATTGGCCAGTAGCAAGATCATTAGATAATTAAAGAAATTGGATTAAAATTGGATGTTTCGAAGACATATTGTTAATCGCCTGAAGGCATGAAAGTGAATCAGAAAAAATAATGATTTTTTTATGTTTAGATTGATGGCTGATATATTTTAGTGCTGTAAAAATGGCATGTGCTTCTGCTGTAAATATGGAACTGTTATCGGGTAATCGTGAAGATATTGTTCTGGATCGAATGACAGTGGCACTAGCAACTGCACCACCATCCTTGGACCCATTTGTAAATATTGATTTATAAGTGTCGTAAGTGTTCTTAGTTGATGGTATTCTTGTTGGTAAATTAATTGGTTAGTATCTGATTTCTTTAGTTTTGTTAATGTCAGGTCTACCTCTGGTTTTACCATTTGCCAAGAAGGAGATGAGAAAAGTTTAGTAGGAGCTATATCTCGGAGTTTAATATTAGAAGCTGATAATGCAGATTTTATTCTGATTCCGAGTGGTGGAGTGAGTGTTGATTTCTTATTGTAAAGATCTTCGTAGAGAGGATTGAATATACATTCAAAAGCTGGATTTGACTGATAAGAGTATAATTTAGTGATGTATTGTAAAGAAAATTTTAGATGGCGTTGTTTAAGAGAAGGCTCATCTGCTTCTATGTATAGACTGTGAACGGGAGACGTTCTAAAGGCTCCAAGGCAAAGCCTCAGGCCCTGATGATGTATAGTATCTAGTTTTTGTAAATTACTTTTGCAGGCTCCACCATAGACGATGGAGCCATAATCAAGTTTTGAACGGATCAGTGACCTGTATAAGTGTAAGAGGGTTGTTTGATCCCCTCCCCACTTTGAATTAGAAACAACTTTCAATAGATCGAGCGCCTTTAGGCATTTAGCTTTAAGGTATTTAAAATGTGGAAGGAAAGTTAGGTGGTTATCAAAAATAAGTTCCAAGAGCTTGGCCTCCTTAACAACTTTGATAGGGGTGCCATTCAGAAATAGTTCAGGGTCCTTATGTGGTTTATATTTTCTGCAGAAATGTATGCAATTAGTTTTTGATTTGGAAAATTTAAAACCGTTTTCTAGACACCACTTGTGAATTTTATTTAGACATAATTGTAATTACCTTTCTATTGTGTGCATTTTTTTACAACGACAAGATATATTAAAATCATCAACAAAAAGTGATCCATCAACTGAATCATTTAAAACTTTTGAAAGACTATTTATTTTTATACTGACAGACAAAATACCGCCTTGTGGGACACCCTGATCCTGATTATAATGATCAGACAGGGTTGTACCCACTCGGACTTAAAATTGCCTGTCTGTTAAAAACTGTGATATAAAATGAGGCAGACGGCCTCTTAATCCAAAATCATGAAGATCTTTTAAAATGCCATGTTTCCATTTGTATCGTAAGCTTTTTCTAAGTCGAAAAAGATCGATACAGCATGTTGTCTATTGACAATGGAATTTTTAATGAAGTATTCTAAACGCACTAAGTGATCGTGAGTACGTCTGTTGTTCCGGAAACCACATTGCATATTGGTAAGAAGATCATTTGTTTCAAAGTACCACACTAATCGATTATTTACCATGCGTTCCATAGTTTTTACAGCTAGTTAGATATATAGGTCGGTAATTTGATGGATCAAAATGATCCCGCCCAGGTTTGGGTATGGGGATAACAATGGCATTATTCCATGAAGGTGGAAACGTCCCTGATGTCCAAATATCATCGAATATAGTCAACATAGTTTTCAAGACATGATTCGAGCAAGTGTTTCAGTAGCTGATAATTAATATTATCAGCGCCTGCTGCTGTATCATGAGCTTGCCCTAAGGCAGTATATAGCTCCTGTAGGGAAAATACCTCATTGTAATGTTCACCATTATCAGATGTAAAATTTACTTTTTTCTTTTCCTGTTGGAGGTGATATTTTTTGAAATTCAGGAACGTAATTTGATGAAGACGAAAGTTGAGATAAAGTTTTCCCAATTCTATTGGCAATAGCAGATGTATCAGTTAGTAAAGTATCGCCATCCTTCAGATGGTTAACTGTAGAATGTGATCCCTTGCCTTTGATCTTTTTAATCATGTTCCATACCTTGGACATAGGAGTATGAGAGTTTATTTTGGAGACTTAGTTCTTCCATGATTTACGTTTATTTTGCTTAAATAGACGTCTTGCCTTAGCATTTGAAATTTTGACAGTGTTTAAATTATGGACAGTAGGATGTTTACGAAAGTATTTCTCCGCCTTCTTACGACATTTCCTAGCTTGTTTGCAAGTGTCATCAAATCATGGTTTACGAATTTATCTTTGCATAAAGATTTAAATAAAAGCCAATCAGCCTTCAAAAAATTCCATCGAGGTGAAGGTGGATCATCAGTGGGATTAATGTGTTTAAGTACGGTGGGGAAATGGTCACTTCAACATAGGTCATTGTCGACTGACCAAGAGAATTCGTTTAACAAAACTGGGTCCGTCAGAGACAGATCTTAAGATGAATATGTACCAGTAGTAGGGTGTAAGTAAGTGTCGGAGTCATCATTAAAAATGCATAGATCATTATCGGAAACAAAATCCTCGATCACTTTTCCCTTTTGATTAATGGTTGAACTTCCCCGTAAAGGATTATGCCCATTTAGATCACCCATGATGACACAGGGCTTTGGGAGCTGGTCGTATAGTTTTTGTAGATCATTTCGCTGAAGATTTGAAAAAGGTGGAATGTATAAGGAGCAAAGTGTGAAGGCAATATGCAGTGTAAGTCTAACTGCAACTGCTTGCAAATTCGTGTCAAGCGGAACAGGACTGTGAACAACGCCCCGCCGCACCAACATAGAAGCCCCTCCAGTAGCTTTATCTCCCGGAGGAGAAAAGGAATGATAGTAACTATACTGCCTTAATTCAAATTTATCTGTATTTTTTAAGTACGTCTCCTAAACAAATTGCTGATGGATTAAAATCTGTAGTTCATTAAAATTGTGCCTAAGCCCTCTGCAATTCCATTGAAGTACATTTGAATGGTTCATGGTGGTTCCACAGGAGATCGCTCACGTGAACGTGAAGAGGAGTCACAACTGTTGTTGTGATGTGAAGATTGAGTAACATCCATCTCTAAAGGATCAAAGAAGTTGTGAACATCTACAGATGTTTCAGTAGGAGTCGGGATCTTTGTTGTAATTTTCCTTTTTTGTTTTTTCTTTTGTTTTCTTGACGTGTCAGTTGATGGTTGTACAGTAGCTGATATTCCTGGAGCTGCTAAAGATTGAGCCAAAGCTTTGATCATAATCTTAGATGGTGGAGAAATGTCACATGCTGGAGTATCTAATTGATGTGTCTGACTTTCAGATGTTGTCGTAATAGCCATTTGGGTGATCCGAATTCGCCCATGTCCAATCTGTTGGACGTTCTATTGATCTAGTTGTGGAAGGGCGAGAGACAGCTGCAGCATAGTTTTGTGTTGATGGAGGAGACCGGCTGGCAATAAGTTTTTTAGCATCCAGATAAGACATATTATTTTGACATTTGACAGCCAAAATATCAAGATTAAAGGGTCTAAATGTTCAGAAAAAACGCTTCTGTAGGTATTCGTGCTAGGGAATTTCCAGGGGTTTCCCCAGGAATGTTGAAGTTGTCCGTCAATGTTTACGTAATTTCAAGAACACGATCTCATGAAAAACATATGAACGTCAAATGGTGTCATTCATACATTTATAAACGTCAATTTCGCGGTTATGTGACCGACCTCTCGTCCAATGGAAAAGCTGTAAATCGTGTGAACTTCAAATTAACCAATTATAACCTCATAACAAACATTCACATCAGAGGTTTGCGGAAAGGTGAGCGTATCCTGCCCTGCCGGTGGCCCCGTCATAAACAAATGCAAGGGCAAATCAATTGTTCACCTGAAAAAAAGTCGAGAACATATGGTTCAAATCAAATTGAGAACTGAATTAGACAACAGTTTTGTCACTGACATGTCAAATTTAGAAAAGTTCACTACATTGTCCTCCAAACAATTATAGTTCCACATTAATTCAAATTGATTTATACCAGATTCAAAAACTCATTCTTGAGTAGTTCCGTGCTCTGACTGTGGTATTGCCGAAGCGCTACATGGCCGAAATATTTACGATACCTTGTATGCGTATGTATCTGATCCGCCGTTTCTGGCCGATGCATTGACGATGCGTAATATGGCCGAAAAAATACTGATGCGTAAATTGGTCGAATATTGACGAATCTGTATATGTTGATACGCTTAGTCAGGTGAACGTTTTGTCAAGTGAACAACTGACTTGCCTTCGCATGTGTTTGTGACAGGTGCTGCTGATAGGGAAGGACACTCTCACCTATTCGCGAACACCTGGTATCACTATTTCATCCTGATTAATAAACATATCACGGGTCTCCACACAATTGGGATAAATAACATGCATCCACCAAGTCGGCGAGCCTGACCACCCGATCACCTTAGTCGCATCTTACAAACATAGTCGCCTTGTACAACACGCATGGGTTGCTGAAGGACCTATTCTACCCAGGTCTCACCCTTTCAATCGTTAGTGATGTGCAGTCTTACATCTAACACACGATCACCAGGATGAATTGTTTGCTTTCTTAGTTGATCGATGACAATGAAGGCATACTTTAAGGATAACCACTTCTTTATTATACTGTCATAAGGACGTTTCGGTACAGGCCTCATATCGTTGTCATACAAAACATGCAGCCAAACACCTCACCTTCCTGGCATTTCTTGCTTAATTTGGTTGGTTGGTTTGTTGTTTAACGCCGCACTCAGCAATATTCCAGCTATATGACGGTGGTCTGTAAACAATCGAGTCTGGTCCAGATAATGAAGTGTTTGACATCGTGAGCATCGATCCACGCAATTGGTTGGTTTAGTTGTTTAACGCCGCACGCAGCAATATTCCAGCTATAAGACGGCTGGATCGGGTGGTCAGGCTCACTGACTTGGTTGACGCATGTCATCGTATCCCAATTGCATGGATCGATGCTCATGATGTCAATCACTGGATTGTCTGGTCCAGACTCGATGATTTCGCTTGAGTTCACTTGAGGCCATAAATATCTCGGAACTGGGATGAAATATTTTACCAGCGTATTTCTGGACATACTTTTTAATCGCAATATTTTATTTCAGAAACGATTCCAAACAGCGCAGTAATGTGAGCCACGTCAATAAATAATTAGGCAGCTCTTGCTATCTGCGCTGTGGCTATCTTAATTCATTGTTTGTGTGTTTGTTTGTTTGTTTGTTTGTTATTTAACGCCACACTCAGCAGTATTAATATTCCACCTATATGACGGCGGTCTGTGAATAATCGAGACTGGACCAGACAAACCAGTGATTGATATCATGAGCATCGAGCCACGCAACTGGGCGAGTGAGTGAGTTAAAATTTAACGTCGCATCGGCATTATTTCAGCCATATAGTGACTCCACGCTATTGGGGTCGATGACATGCATCAAACAAGTCAGCGAGCCTGACCACCCGATCCCGTTAGTCGCCTTTTACGACAAGCATAGTCGCCTATGCTGTTTACTCGTTCCCATTTCTAACATGAACATACTCTTCTAGACCCGTGAAGATCCGGGTCAGAATGGTCTTCAGCAACCCATGCTTTCCGTAAAAGGCGACTATGCTTGTCGTAAAAGGCGACTAACGGGATCGGGTGGTCAGGCTCGCTGACTTGGTTGATGCAGGTAATTGATCCCAATTGAGTGGATCGATGTTCATGATGTCAATCCCTGGATTGTCTGGTCAAGACTTGATTATTTACAGACCGCCGTCATATCGCTGGAATATTGCTGAGTGGGGCGTTAAATAACAACAAACCAAAACATACCCTTCTATATTCAGAGTATGACAACTGTACGGGACCCCCTGACATAGAGAGGATGGACGGTGTGAGATATCAAGGCGGTTTTCTACTGAAGGCCTACTCTGACGTCTCTGGGACCTTCTGCGTCACGGAGTGCGTCATCCGCAACAGATGCTTCAGCCTCAGCTTCAACAGAGCCGACAATGTGTGTGAACTATTCACTACCCCTATCAACACAACAGACGTATCATCAGCCACAGGCTGGGAGACGTATATCTTCACCGACATCAAGTTATATTATTAAATTATGGGGTTACATGTAATTGTTAATTTCATATTTGCGGGTTTTAATGGGTATTCGATTTTCGGAAATGTGGAGTGAGTGAGTTGGGTTTAACGCCGCTTTTAACAGAAGCCAGAAGTGATGTAGGTCTATAAACTCACGAGCACGGGTATGGTGCTGACAAACCTTGAAACATAATCGGGTTGGTTGGTTGGTATGTTTTTTATTTAACGCCGCACTCAGCAATATTCCAGCTCTATGATGGCGGTCTGTAAATAAACAAGTCTGGACCACATAATCCAATGATTGACAACATGAGCATCGATCCACGCTATTGAGATACGACATGCATCAACCAAGTCAGCGAGCCTGACCACCCTATCCTGTTAGTCGTCTCTTACGACTAACGGGACCGGGCGGTCAGGCTCGCTGACTTGGTTGATGCATGTCATCGATCCCAATTGCGTGGAGCGACGCTCATGATATTAATCACTGGATTGTCTGGTCCAGACTCGATTAATTCCAGACCACCGTCATATAGCTGGAATATTGCTGAGTGCGGCGTTAAACAACAAACCAACCAACCAACTCAATGCTAATCAGAAGCTTATAGAAGCAGTGCTTCTATTGTCTGTCTATTATCCATGAACAATGCTGTCTATTGTCCATGAACAATGCTGTCTATTGTCTATGAACAATGTTGTCTATTGTTCTTTTGTATCCATAAACGATGTACACACGACGAAACTCAAATTGATGTCACAACTGTCACGTTCTGACCTCGCTCCGTACTTGTGAATGAAGGGAGTGACTTGAAAAGTAAAACAAAAATAAAGATTATTTCATTTAACAAATAGTTGAGGTTAATATTTTTTCATTGAAAATAACGATTGTTCAAGACATTTTGACTCATAGATATATTTGGCGAATCTCTGTTGTGGTTATTTCAAGAGAAATAATAATGATAAATAACATACTTTCAAGACTTTTTTGCTAAAGTATTGTACATTGAAATATTTTCGTTGAAAATTTGATATCTTATATCGAAAAACGTTGTGGTCCTTAACTGTTTCAATTTAAATATTGTCTCTGTTAGTCACTTTGAAATCTTTGGGTTACTGACAAAGGAATTAGACAATAGGTTATTATTCACAATACTATTCAGCCATCGAGCCATCCATGACGTCACAATGACGTCACAAAGGAACCTCCCACCCTCCCGTCTTTGATCTCAATTCTTTGATGTCTTTGATCAACTGTCTTTGATCATGTTGATCTTTGATGTCTTTGATCGACTGTCTTTGTCTTTGATCATATTGTTCTTTGATAAGAACAATGAACTAACCGTCGCCCGCTGTTAATACAGAGCTCCAGATAAGCTTTTGGTGTTGTGGGTATTTTACCCATGCATTTTAAAACCATTGGGTATCAGTAATTCTATTTGGGTATTCAAATTTCTGTTACCAACTAGTTTTTACACATGTGGGTATTTAAGTTAAATATTTAAAACACTATTCATCTAGTCCCTGCAAACTGGTGTCGTGTGGGTTCGAGAGCTTTATAGGACTCAAAAATACCACGATACTTCCACAAGAAAGTGTGATGGCAAGATCATGATGTAACTGTCATCGTGGAGTTTGGCAAGGTTGACGGAATGCCCGTCTATAATTTCAAAATAAGTTGCTGATTTGCTAATCGAATACGCAGGGTTACTTCACAATATTTTGATGATACGCACAAGTTTTATTTTTGTAGCGTATCTGTAATGTTCGTTGCGTATTTGATACGCTTGGATTTTATTTTACTGCATATTTCTGCATTTCTGATGCGTATTTTACGCAGATACGCAGCGTATCTGGAGCTCTGCAATACTGTGTATTGATCCATCGACTTCCGAATAAGGAAGCGTAGCAATCAATCAATCAATCAGACATGCAAATAATGCACATCAATCATTTAATCATGCATATCAATCATTCAAATAAATATTGATTAGAATCAAATAAACTATTACTAACATACAATTGGAGATATATGGTGTTATAGATCGGAAAGGGTAAGCAAAGTAATGTCTTTCCGTATACGGAAATGTTACTATACGTCTTTGTTACGTGAACACAGGCGAATGGCCGGTGAAGCTAGTGCTATTGTCTCAACATCACGTTTTGGCCACCTGTCGGTGGTCACTGTATGTGACGAGACTCAAATTGTTTTCACAACTGTCACCATTCATATACATCCATCTCTTATTCAATGAAAATAGCTCCACCATTTTTGTCGTTGTTATGATTTTAAAGTATCATTTTATAATTCGTTGTACATGATAAATTACAAATGAAGTAAATAAACAAAACAAAATGTGTGTGTGTCTCTCTCTCTCTCACTCTCTCTCTCTCTCGATATCGACGGATGCGATGTCGCACTGGACATTGAGAGGTTGGTTGTTGGTTGGTTTGTTGTTTTACGCCGCACTCAGCAATTTTCCAGCTATATGACGGCGGTCTGTAAATAATCGAGTCTGGACTAGACAATCCAGTGATTGATATCATGAACATCGATCCGTGCAATTGGGATCGATGACATGCATCAACCAAGTCAGCGACCCTGACCACCCGATCCAGTTAGTAGCCTTTTAAGATAAGCATAGTCGTCTTTTACGGCAAGCATGGGTTGCTGAAGACCTATTCTACCCCGGATCTTCACGGGTCTGCTGAAGACCTATTCTACCCCGGATGTTCACGGGTAACGCGGCCATAAAGCTGGAATATCGCTGAGTGCGTGATGTAATTGTTAAACAACGCACTACGCGGTCATGAAGCTGGAATATCGCTGAGTGCGTGATGTAACTGTTAAACAAGGCACTACGCGGCCATAAAGCGTGAATATCGCTGAGTGCGTGATGTAATTGTTTAACAACGCACTCAAGTCACAAAGCTGGAATATTGCTGAGTGCGTGATGTAACTGTTTAACAATGCACTACACGGTCATGAAGCTGGCATATCGCTGAGTGCGTGATGTAATTGTTTAACAATGCACTACACGGTCATGAAGCTGGGATATCGCTGAGTGCGTGATGTAATTTTTTAACAACGCACTATGCGGTCATGAAGCTGGGATATCGCTGAGTGCGTGATGTAATTGTTTAACAATGCACTACGCGGTCATGAAGCTGGCATATCGCTGAGTGTGTGATGTAATTGTTTAACAATGCACTACGCGGTCATGAAGCTGGGATATCGTTGAGTGCGTGATGTAATTGTTTAACAACGCACTACTCGGTCATGAAGCTTGAATATCGCTGAGTGCGTGATGTAATTGTTTAACAACGCACTACGTGGTCATGAAGCTTGAATATCGCTGAGTATGTGATGTAATTGTTTAACAACCCACTACGCGGTCATGAAGCTGGGATATCGCTGAGTGCGTGATGTAATTGTTTAACAACGCACTATGCGGTCATGAAGCTGGGATATCGCTGAGTGCGTGATGTAATTGTTTAACAATGCACTACGCGGTCATGAAGCTGGCATATCTCTGAGTGCGTGATGTAATTGTTTAACAATGCACTACGCGGTCACGAGGCTGGGATATCGTTGAGTGGGTGATGTAATTGTTTAACAACGCACTACTCGGTCATGAAGCTTGAATATCGCTGAGTGCGTGATGTAATTGTTTAACAACGCACTACGTGGTGATGAAGCTTGAATATCGCTGAGTGCGTGATGTAATTGTTTAACAACGCACTACGTGGTGATGAAGCTGGCATATCGCTGAGTGCGTGATGTAATTGTTTAACAACGCACTACTCGGTCATGAAGCTTGAATATCGCTGAGTGCGTGATGTAATTGTTTAACAACGCACTACGTGGTGATGAAGCTGGCATATCGCTGAGTGCATGATGTAATTGTTTAACAATGCACTCCGCGGTCATGAAGCTGGGATATCGCTGAGTGCGTGATGTAATTGTTTAACAACGCACTACGCGGTCATGAAGCTGGGATATCACTGAGTGCGTGATGTAATTGTTTAACAACGCACTACGTGGTCATGAAGCTGAAATATCCCACCCGTCAATGTGCCAGAGATTTAGTTGGGGCCTTAAATTTCACACTATTATCTCGTCGTCTCAGTCTCCTCTGACTCCTTGATAATACACCATCAAAATCCAATATATTCAATACTGAACGGACAATTTCCCTATCAGTCACAATCCCATGTACCTGGTGCAATCGTCTATGCATAGATCGGTAACCCAGAGTGAAAGCACTGTCTCGGAGTTCTTGTTCAATGTTGAATGGCGTCAATTACAGTATCAACATCATCTTAAAACTTTCTCCGAGTCAGCTGTAGATCTCGCAGAATTCTCTTTAAGTGTCTAAGGCTCACATTTTTGTCATGGACACATAAAAACATGGTAATCTCCTTGTAATGGAAGCCTAAATGAAAATAACGTTCAGTTAGTCAAAAGGCATTTAGTTTTTATGAATAGTCATCTTAATGTTTCTGGATTATGAACAAAATGGCCGTCACTGAGAAACGAGGTTATCATTGTCACGTGACTTTCCACTGCGGTGAAAACTCTGCGGTGAAAACTATGGAGAAAAAAAACTTGAACAACTCAATAAATCTATCAGAAAACTATTTACACCATTTGAAATATTATCACTGCGGTGGGAATATTATAACCGCGGTGGAAATACTTTTCTGTGTTTTCATTTTAGGTTTTGACATTTTTACAGTGGCCCACTAGGGACATGGAGTCTGTTTTTCAATATTTTGATATTTCACTTACTGTTATCGTAACCTTTTGCAAATTAACACGATTTGTCATACATGCCTAAAGAAGATATTGAATCGCTGAAAAGTGAAGCGAAAATGTCAAAAACTAAAATGAAAATGTCCAAAACAAAAACGAAAATGTCCAAAACAAAAGCGAAAATGTCAAAAACTAAAATGAAAATACAGAAAACCATCTCAACCGCAGTGGAAATAGTTCTAATAGTTTTCTTGAATTTTTCAAGTTTCCTTTCTCCATAATTTCCACCGCGGTGGAAAGTCACGTGACAATGATAACCTCGTTTTGGAGTGACGGCCATTTCGTTCATGCTCCACAAACATTAAGATGACTA